CTCCCGTCCTCGCATTCTCACGATCCTTCCAGGCGAGGTGCTAAAGCACTTGTGATCTGTGACTTTGCGAAAAAGTAGTTGCACGTTCAATCACAGCTTGCAGTTTTTCAGCCATCCTGGGACGCCTCTTTACCTACAGTTTTTTTATGGGTTATCCCTTCTAATGAAGGAGTAGCTACTACGAAACTGTAGGTAGAGAGGGTCCCAGGATTGCCCTGGCTTTGTATGATCCACGCCTTGCCCAACACCCCAGCTAGCCCGGGAGTTGTCAAAATTGGGATCCCCCCCCCCCCCCCCTAAAGATCATGAGTAGAATCCCCCCTTTCCACTTTGTTTACCTAGACTTCAATTGCTATATTATGCGCGTCTTCTCAGACTCTAAGCTCACGAAACCAAAAAGCACCCCTTTTCAAGAATCCCTCCCCATAATTGGGAGCCCGAGATTACCCAAATTCGATCACAGGGCTTACAGGCTGCTCAGGTTGTAGGGTTTTCGGGCTTAGAGGGCTTACAGGGTTATGAGGTTATAGGGTTTTAGGATTGTAGGGCTGATGTGGCGATGGGCTTATAGGGTTGTAGGCCGCTGTCCCCTCAGTCCCAGGTGCTGCAGTCACCTTCTTTGTGTTTGCCCCGCGAGGGCTCCTGGTTGGCCTGACGGTACCTTGGCATGAACCCCAAACCTGCCAAACCTCCCCCTGAGCTGAAGACCCAAAACCCCCTGAACCCGCTAAACCCGCTAAACCTGCTAACCTCCTAAACCTCCTAAGCCCCTAAACCCGCTAAACCGCCGAAACCCGCAACCCGTGAAGCCCTGAACCCGCCAAACCCCTAAACCCCTGAGTCCCTAAACCCCTAAACCCCCGAGCCCTAAGCCCCTAAACCCGTAAACCCCCCAACCCTCGACCCTAAACCCCTAGACCCCTGAACCGGGACGCATAAACCCATAGACCCCAAAACTCAACTCGCTCCACCTTAAACCTGAAACCCTGAACCCCGAAACCCCTAAACCCTAAGCCCCAACCCCTAAACCCTAAACCCTAAAACCCTAAACCCTAAACCCCAAACCCCTAAACCCTTAAACCCCCCCTCCACCCCCCCAAAGCTGAATTCCGAGCCCCCCGGGCGAGGTGCTGGCCTTGTTGGGCGCCCGGGCGCCCCAGCGGCTGCTGCAGCGGCTGTCCCAAGTCAAGGTCTCCCATGGCTTGTTCTTTGGGCTTGGGTCCTAAATGCCCTAGGGTTTAGGGTTTAGGGTTTAGGGTTTAGGGTTTAGGGTTTGGGGTTTACGGTTTAGGGTTTAATTTTTCGGTAGGGTTTAGGGCCTAGGGTTTAGGGTTTCGGGTTTAGGGTTTAGGGGTTGCCCTAAACCCGAAGCCCTAAACACAAATCCCAAGTCAAGGAAACTCTTTTTGGTACGTGTGTCTGTGTTTTGCGAGTTTGTTTGTTTGTTTGTTTTTCGGGGTTTAGGGTTCGGAGGAAGTCAAGGTCTTCGGAGGAAGTCAAGGTCTCTTTTTGGTGCGTAGGGTTTGTGGGGTTTCGGTTTTAGAGGGTTGAGGATGGCTACTAGGTCTCTACGAGGGAAATTAGGGACCCCCCTACGTCTTGGTAAGGGGCTACGTGGGGGTACCCAACTCCAAATGAAACGCCTTTCTCCGCTGAGAATTCGGGGGTTTACGATGGTGCTTTCACCAAGATCCCTTAGGTGATTTTGGCAACTGAGGGAGTGGGGTTTAGCGTTCAGGCTTAGCGGGGGACATATGCCCTGACATCCCAAAGCTTGACTTTCTGGCAGGAGTCCCTGAGCCCCCTCTCCTCCGAGCAAGAAGCCGCGTCCCCGCGGGCCCCGCTGGAGACGGCGGATGGGGACCCATGGTGGGGAAAGAGGGATGCACACAAATCCTGGCAGACCGAAGCGCCAGCAGACTTACAGCTGCATGCATTTATATACCCGATAGACATGCTTCAGAGAACTGCTCCTCCCTGTCACCCTCAACCCTAAACCCTAAACCCTCTATCCCTTGTAGGATTGGGGACCAGCGCTGGTCCTGGTCTTCGAGGCAAAGCTTAGGTACAGGGGTTGCGGGGGGATGCTCCCCCCTTATGCTAGCAGTCCTTCATCGGGAGGGTTTAGGGTTTAGGGTTTAGGGATGATAGTAGGGGTACGAGAATCCCGATGAAGGACTGTTAGTATGAGGGGGAAACTTCCCAAGGTAGGGTTGCTGTTATTGGCTAGTGCATATTTTGGGTGTCCTTATTTCGGGGGTGGGGTGGGTAGTCCAAAGAATAGAGGAATTAAAAATCTATATATTAACAGGCTTAAGTCAATTTGCATGTGTTTCGAGATGAAGGTATCGATGTTGGGGTTCCCTGGAATGAGATCTGTAGCATCTTTGGGGTACAGAAGGGCTGCCCTTGGAAATGTCCATGTCTGGTACTGTAAGGGGGTGATTCGAAAGCCCACAACGTGAGCTTCTTTGGGTGAGTGTCGAGGCTCAGAGAACTAACAGCGCGAACGCGAGCTTGTATACGCCCCCTGGACCATCCACAAGCGCACGCTAACCCGTGTATCCACATAGAGCCAAGCCGAGCAGGGATGATGGTTTGGCCAACTTTTGCGTGAGGCAAAGAACTCCTTGACTGGAATCCAGCAGCTACGCATCCGACCCGGGGACGGCGCACGCCCTTGGTCTTTGGAGGAACCTGGTTGCGTTGCACTGTAGGCTTCCGAATGCTGCATGTAGATATGGGAGGATTCAGGTTTTGGATGCTCTGGCTTAATTCAGGCTGCCACAGAGATGATTCGCGATGGGATGCAAAGGGCTTGTACTTGTGAGGTCCACCGATCACCTCAAGACACTTCATGGGAGTTGCGGTATGTGGGCGAGGGGGGATGATCCATCTTCGGCCCTGCTGTGGGCTCTATCAGAGGGCATTCCTTGTAGCCGAGTGTGCCAAAGCAGGGTCCATGATTTCGATCAATCCCCGTACTATAGGCCCTGGACAAACTTGAGGAGCCGACGACCTGTGGGAATATCACAGTGCTATCAGCGGATCAACGGTCCATTTGTAAGGATCTATGTGTCTTTTCCCGTTTCATGGCGACTAGTGCGCGCATTCTCGGTCTTTGGTCCCTGCCACACTCGGCTTGCTTTTCGAGTGAGGGGGCAGGGTTTCTCACAGAAGTGTTTAGCTAGATGCAAGCCAGCCTGTCGCTGCGCAGGATCTACCCATCTCAACTCATCCCGCGCAGTCACCGGCATTCTTGCCGGAGGCCTTCGTGCTTGTTTCTAGCGAGCACAATGGGTTCACACACGCAGACACAGCCACCCACTCCTGCTCTCTTTCTCTTTCTCTTTCTCTTTGCCTCTCGTAGGCTGAACCCGAGTGTTTGTGGCAATCCACCACGCGGAGACGTGATTGCCCTAGCAATATACCCTCATGCAGGTATGAAGAAATGAACTGGCAAAGCGTCTATCACTTAACAGCTGGCAAAGCCTCAACTCTGTCAAGTCAAGGGGAAGCTGAGCAGAAGTATAAACAGAATGCGTGCGAACTGCTAGCGCCTGTTCTTTCTATGGATGTTCTCGCCGCTGTGTTTTGAGGGTGGAAGGTCCGGAGCTAGCACGCGAGCGTGCGCACGCGAGTGCGTGCCATCATACGTCTCATTGACATGTGCCTGCCTTTGGCGGCTTTGCTTTTAGGATTTAGTTCGGGCTATTTGGGTTTCAGTTTTCCAGACCTATCTCGAGTATAGATTTGGAACAGCTGGTCTCCGTACTGCATTACGCCATTACGTGTAGCTCCACGGGAACTTGCACTCTTCCGCACTCGATTGTCTCATGGAGGCGGTCGCAGATGCTCTCGCGTGGAAGCCAGTGCGGCAGTTTCCTTGCAGTGAGATGCTCAAGAGGCGCCTGGGACCTCCTGGCAACCTGAAGGGCTTGGTTTGGGGAGTCTGCGGAGTCTGGGGATCTGTGTTTCCGATTCTTATTTTGTGTTACTGTAAAAAAATATGAAGTACTAAGTGTCTTTATCGGGCGGGACACAACAAACGTCAGCAGCAAATCCCTTGAGCGTCCAGACGCTTTGTGATCATGCCAAAATGCTCCTATGTTGCTACCCTGCTTCTCACAGAAGCTGCGTATTGCTTGTCAGTACGTGCACGGTATAGGATTGATCTGACTGCACTTGACTTGGTGGTCCAGTCAGCTCAGAGTAAAGGTTGGCAGTTCAGATTACAGTTACTACCATCTTGTGGGCAAGTCTCACAGAGCCCTGAGTTCAAAACGCAGCAACACCTTGAGGTCAAGTGTCCATTGGAAGACTTATGCAGCAGATCGAAGGGGGCAACTGAGTTCGACCGAAATGGAAGAACGCTTACGACGTACGATTCAGTGGCTAAGGCTCAGAGCAAGTAGTGGAAGCTTGTGACGCTAGCTCCAAAGCATCAAGGCAAAAACAGCACACCCTAAAGACCAAAGGGTGTTCTTCCTACTCTGTTGCAGGCTCGAAGATGCGGGTTTGGAGTACCGTCTCGGTGCCTCCTCCGCTGGCGCGCTTTGGGCTGCAAAGAGGATAGCATCCGCTATAGGTACATGCGGCAGCATCTAGACTAGAGTTGGTAGAGGATGAGGTGGTCCATTCGGTGCCTCTGCAAGTCTTACTTGCAGAGACGAAGATCGTTAAGAGCAGAAATGTGGTCCAGCGTGGTCCAGCATGGTCCTGCCCCCTCTGCTAGGATGCATCTTGTTCTCTTTCTGAGAGTACGATTTCTGTGTACAGGGAGCTCCGAACTGCACCTTAAGGACACAGCATGATGGATGCCATGGTCATCAGTTATCAGGTCCCAACACCCTGTTTCAGCTGAGAAGCCCCCTCACATCAGTCGAGGCAACGCAGCATCTTCGCACTTGATAGACTCAGTCCTAGGCCTAAGCCAATACCAGCACCTCACTGGTTGGCTGTATAAATCCAGAGCAATCGTCTCAGCCCATCCTTGGACCATGGAGGCTGCGAGCCGTGCATCTAAACTGTGGCAAACACAACACAAGCTGAAACGCGTTGGGTTTTCAGCCCTCAGGAGTACATCTTCTGCAGTGTCCGTCTGCCGGAGGCCTGCCATCTTCAGTTTGAAAAAGCTGGGGAATGCTTGGGATGTGGCTCTTTGGGCTGTGCTCTTTGTCTGTACATCTGCGCCCTACTCATGCAGGATGTTGCTTCTTTGCGTCTTGAATCTTGAAGCCCCTGATGTTGCACCTGCTTTAGTGGGGGCCCCCTGTTTAAAGCTAAGTTGACCGGGCTATTCAGGACACCCTGACTGTTTGGGGGTGCAGGGTGAGACCCTCCTTAAAGTCGAATGGTTCCCGAAATCCACATTGTTTTTTCAAGGATTTAGGACTTGTTGTTAACTAAGTTTGAACATGAAATCCTCAAACCCTAACCCTCAAACTCTCAAACAAGGCCGACCTCATCCATTCCCATGGGCCCGAAACCAGTAATTCCTTTCAAGGAAGCCATTTGAAAAGTTGGTTTCGTTCAATCCGACGAAGGGGTGGTCCAGAATCCACCCCCAACACCACCGATTCGGGACCAAGCCCCCGGGCCCGGGGCTCTGAACTTGGATGCCTTGGCCCAACCCTCAACCCTAAACCCTAAACCCTAAACCCTAAACTATCTAAAAGCCCCGATGAGGCCACGGCGCGGGCGAACCTGAGCTGCCCAGCTCAGAAATCTTGGAGGGTTTCAAAGAAAACCGGGTCCCGAGCCCAGGTGTGGGTCTAGGGCTTTGGGGCTTAGGGTTTAGGACTTATGGTTGAGGATCTGCGGTTTAGGGTTTAGTCATATGAAGGCTGAGTTCAGGTTTTGGTGATGAGAGGTTGGGCTGCTCGACTGAGTCGACAGGTTTGTACTTGGGTGTTGGGTGTTGGGTGTAAGTTTAGGTTGCCTCAGCCAAGGCTTTTATCCAATCGACTTAGAGCTGCATCCAGACCGAGCCAGGAGTGCAGTTGCGGGGCTTAGGGTTTAGGGTTTAGGGTTTAGGGTTGGGGGCTCTCCTGTCGCGGGGGCACTGGATGCTGTGACGTGCCCCCCCTCCCCCCTCTCCCTCCCTCCCTCCCTCCCTCCCGCTCGAAAAATCAGGACAATATGGGCATTTCCCAAAATTGGGGTACGCCTTCTGTACCCCAAATAGAATAGAGTCCCTCAAAGGGACCACCCACAAGAAGGGCTCCCCTATTTAGGAAACCCTCTTCATTCCATCGCGCGGGCCTGTGAGGTCTCTGATTCTGAATGGGGGCACATCACTTGGGGGACACGGCTCGAAATACTCTTGCGCTGCCCGGAAAGCATGTCAAAGAGGACGCCCCTACATCCACAAACAGTCAAACTCGTCACAACTCGTCTTTCTGGATGGCGCCCGTGCAAGAATCGATGGAAGATTGGATGCCTCAGCTACTGAGGACAACCCACTCCTGAACTGTTCATTGCGTAGTTAAAGAGGCATGAAAATCAAAAGCAACGTTGCCACACGAGGAGCTATGCCGCAGAGTTGGGTATGCCGCTGGCGGTGCGTACACGCGGCGCGGTACCGTGGCATTAACCAGAGTTTCACAGAGCTTGCGTTTTGAGAGTCGAGGAACCAGGAATCCAAACCCATGGAATCCTGCGCCAAACGCTTAGAGTTTGATCTCGGATCCGAGGATCACTGCGGTATTCCTACAATGCCGACACTAGAAAAATGCAAGCCTTCCCGATCCTCCTTTAGTTCTCACGACCCCCTAAACCCTAAACCCTAAACCCTAAACCCTAAACCCTAAACCCTAAACCCTAAACCCTAAACCCTAAACCCTAACCCCTCCCCTGAAAGCGCCAGCCACAAGGCGCCGCCGGAAGCCCAGCCCTCCTCGGAATCCTTCGACTCGCTTGCAGCGGAGGCCCTGGGCTTGAAAGACTGGGATCTATTGCGCCTGGAGGGCCTTCGGTTAGTTTAGGGTTTAGGGTTTAGGGTTTGGGGTTTAGGGTTTAGGGTTTAGGGTTTGCGGTTTGGGGTTTAAGGTTCAGGGATGTAGGGTTTGGGGTAGAGTGGATGGTAATTTGCCCTGGCAACCAGAAAGTCAGGACGCTGCCCCAAGTTTCTTTACGTCGGGACTCGTCGTGACGCACTTGCTCATCATGGCTCATCATGATTTAAGGGTTTCCTCATGGTCTTGACGACACCCTGCACTCTGAACTCGAGGATCCTCTGAGGACTGCATCTCTGTGTTACTGCATGATGCCACTGAAAGGCAGACTATGCCGTGCATGAGGGCCTGCCTGCCGACATCTGGGAGGACTCGGGCGAGATCGTTGGTTGTGTCTGAAGGGATTCCGGTCAAGTCGAGATCAAAACGATTAGAATTCCACCCCGGTGTTCATCCTGACTCATCCACACAGTTGGGGATCCCCAACAATTACTGCTCTCATTTAGCTGGGGTAAACTTGAAACAAAATCGGGGTTCTCATTATGCGTTAATGTGCTCCTTAAGGGTGATGGAGGTTCTTCAACGGGTCAATGCCGAGAGCCGGCTTGAATGAGTCAGCCCAGCCTACTTCACTCTCTAGCAGGACTTGCACGTGCGCTTCTATCCCAACATTCCTTGCCGACTTTTTCGCCACATGCCCCTGGTTCACGGCACGGAGAAGGCTGGGGATTTCCTGTTAATCTTGATGAGATCAGAGCTGATGCAAGGGTTGCGATTAGGAGCCCAAGCCTTTAAGGCGTTGGGTCTGCCCGATCTGCAAGTCGTTCTTTTGCCGAAGGAGGGCATCGCGTCACAGCCGTGCTCACCTGCTGGCGAGGCCGCAGGAGGAATCACATGGACTTGCACCGTGTTTCAGGAGGTTAACAAGAGAAATACAGCAAACAGACCATGACATTCGTTACGCGCGACCCTGACAGCACATTCAGAGAGCATGGGCAAATCAGGCACTCGAAGACAAAATCACTCTGCCGTGCTCCGGCCATGTGGTTACAATCCACGCGGTTTATATTGTTTTGTTCGAAGAGGTACTTCCCCATCACTTCCTGGTTTTCAGCTGTAAGATTGCTCTTAGATTCCTGCCAGCATACAGATTTTTTTCGCTGCTCTTGTCGACTCGGGTTCGAGTATGAGTTGATGCGCTTGTCGAAGTACATGCATATTTGTCTTAATGATGTGGACAGTTCTTTACTTTGTGGTGGTGATATCAGCCCGAAGCCTAAACTCAGAGTTATAGTCATTCACACCCGCGGGTGTGCCGGCACTTTTGTCATTTGTGCGGGGCTAGGCGGTCAGATGAGGCGTGGCACTGGCAGAGCATACTTAAGGGGAGTCTAGCATTTTGTGCCATCGTTCAGGTGTCGCTGCCCACACTGCTGCCGCCGTCCGAGCGGCTGCGCTTGCTGCGGCTGGGATGGTCAGCATAGTGGGTGGCGCTCTAACTTAGGGTCCCGTCTAACTTGGGGTCCCTTTTGGGTCCCCTGTATATTGCACGGTACCCTTAAAAGAAGAACCATCCACAAGGGACCCTAATATAGAGAGCTACCCATATATTACACGCTAAAAGCATCAACTGACGAGGGGCAGAGTCGGCTTCAGAAACGCCCAGGCAGTTTTTTGTGACCTCTGAAGCAGAACGTGAGGGTCCACACTCATCCTTGAGTCTGGGTGGCCTGTGCCCTAAACCCTATCAGCCCTAAACCCTAAACCCTAAACCCTAAACCCTAAACCCTAAACCCTAAACCCTAAACCCTAAACCCTAAACCCTAAAGCTCAAGCCCGACTTTGCTTTGCAGCCTTTAGGCTGAGCCTCGTCGCAGATGACATGCCTGGCGCGACGGGCGAGATGGGCGCCGGGGTCAAGCTGGACAAGCGGCCTGTTCTCTTCATGGAGGGGGAGTTTCGATTTAGGGTTTATTGTTAGTCTAGGGTTTATCTGTCATAGTGGTGGTGGGGGCCTGTTGCTTCGCTGCTTGAAGGTTAAGCTGGGGGTATCCTCGGGGTGGCTGCATGGCCCGATGCCTTACAGGCCAAGAGCATCGCGAGCTGACCCGGCCACGGAGCAAAGTCGGATATTCTGCCAAATGATCCCTAAAGCAGACTTGACACCTAAACCCTAAACCCTTAACCCTAAACCCTGGGGGGGGGGGGGGAGGCGGTTGGGGCGGGATTGCAACGTTGGGCTGGTTTGCGGCTATGAAGTGTTGCAAGAGGAAAGGTGCGTCCGACATTGTCCGATGCAAAGACACCACGACCCCCTGAGCAAGCCAGGATCAGAAGTAGAAATGGGGAATATATGGACCTTAATAGTAGACCTTCGAGATAATAATTTCGGAAGAATAATAATCAGGAGAATGGTACGAGTAGCATTCGTAGACCTCTAGTACTGGCAAGCATACTCACAAAAGCCATCGAAGTTACACCGTTCTCCGCGCGTTCCTGTCGTGCTTCTTGCTTGCTGCCCAGTCTCAGGTGGAAAAGGCCCAAGTTTTGCAACTGCCTTCTCCGAACCTGCCGCGGCTTGCTTCAATTAGGGACTCTAAACTCTAAACCCTAAACCTTAAAACCTAAACCCTTAACCCTGATGATGCTGACACATTGTGAGGGTTGGGATCAAGACTGTCGTCGCATCGCTCGGCCTCTTTTCGAGACTGGTGGCGAGCCTTTCATGTTGGGGACCTGTTCAGGTTGTGGTTGTGGCTTTGGCCATCATGATCAGCATAGAATTCTGCAAGAGCTTGACGCCAGGCAACTTTGGTGCTCGCCGCTACGCGGCGAGCACCGCAGATCTGATGAACAACCTGCGCCAGGCTGGGCGGACCAAAAAAAGCAAGGGAGATCTCTAATAACTAATATTTCCAATGCCATCTCATGGCGAGCACTGGACGTTCGGGATTGCTTGGAAAATGCAGGACACAATCGGCGATCAGACGCAGGTTCAGTGTAGATTCTTTGCAGACCAGTTTTGTCCCGCTTCACATATTCCGGATACTTTCTTGTTGACTGTGATCCCTGCCACCCAAAAAAGGTGCCACGAGCCTTTTCCCACTACTTCCTGATGCAGGATGGAGCATGCTTGGATGACAGTGCGACGTTGTAGGGGCAGTTGGGTGGTTTGGGGTTTTGCCGGCCTTCCTCAAAAGCAGCTGCTTCTTCCCGACACGACTCAACTCCACTGTCATGCACACAACACCTCCGGAACCTCCTGGCAAAACTTACGACAATTATGCCCCAGTACACGACCTCTGTCAATACCCACGGTTCTCAATACCCAAGACCGAGTCTGATCTAAGCCTCAGCCTGTGCAACTCCTGCAAGACTGCGATTGACGACAGCCAAACCTTTACCAGTCCGGTAAATCCGGAATCCACGCCAGGGACAATCGAACCCTAAACCCAAAACCCAAAACCCTAAATCCTGAACCCTAAACCCTAAACCCTAAACCCTAAACCCTAAACCCTAAACCCTAAACCCTAAACCCTAAACCCCAACCCTAAACCCTAAACCCTAAATTGGTTTTGCACAGGATCCCCGGGATGGTGTATTCTTGGGACTCCGCTTCAAGTTCGGCCGGCCGAGCTCGCCCCTGTGCCTCGGGGGCAGGGTCTTGAGTTTGCGCTTGACTGTTTAGGGTTTAGGGTTTAGGGTTTAGGGTTGTGCTTACCGCTTTGGTATGATTTTTTAATTTCCCTTCTTCCCTGATAAACGGAACCTTTTCATAAATCAGTTTCGAAGGGTTTACAGCGCAACTCAGGTTAGATTTCTCTTGAACTCCTGTGCGCATCCCTAAACCCCAAACCCTAAACCCTAACCTCCCTAAACCCTAACCTCCCTAAACCCTAAACTCCCTAAACTCCCTAAATCCTGAACTCCCTAAACCCTGAAGTCCCTAAACCCTAAGCTCCCTAAACTCTACACGCTCTACATGCTCTACCCTGACTTCAGGTTCCGAAGCGGTCTGCTCAGTGGTGTGGTCGTGCCTCGTCAGCAAGTTTGCGTGGTCACACAGCTTCGCATTCCGGGTGTCAGGCGGGCTACCTAGGGTTGAGGGTTGAGGGTTTAGGGTTTAGGGTTGAGGGTTTAGGGTTTAGGGACTTTGAAGGTACTTTATCAGGAAGACGACTACCAATCAAAAGATTGTACTGTAGGAAATTGGCGCAATGGTCGTGCTACTACATACTGGTGTCCGAAGCATGATCATCGCAGTTCTGCCCCCGCCCCCTAAACCCTAAACCCTAAACCCTAAACCCTAAACCCTAAACCCTAAACCCTAAACCCTAAACCCTAAACCCTAAACCCTAAACCGTGGATGAGGACAAGAGCCTGCCAAGCCAGCTGCAGCACTTCTTCGGCCAGCAGATTGGATTCTACTTCGCCTTCTTGCAGCACCTCTTCAGCCTCCTGGACTCGAAAGCCTGATAATGGGTTTAGGGTTTAGGGTTTAGGGTTTAGGGTTTAGGGGCTCCCTCTGATAGTCTACTGAGGGCAGGGGAAAAAAGTAGCACATGTGGGCTGGCGCCGGTGGTTTTGGGCTTAAAAACATACGGGGCGGTAGTAGCAAGGCGGCTTTGTACGCTGGAGCCGGGAAATGCGAGCATCTGGAAATCTCCTGTGGAGAGAAGGAAACGGCAATCGAAGTGGCTCAAACCCGCAATCGCTTCCAGAGATCTCTGGAGCTTCGACCCCATCTTCAAACATATTCAGCAAAACATCGTGGATCACGTTCAAGGGGGATTCATGTCAAAGCCATCGGTTTCCGTGTCATGTGCTGTAACTTCCTGTCGGCCATCCCAGGCTACGGTTTTGCTTTGACGGTTTTGCTGGCTCCGCTGCTGGCGGTGTACAGTGTGGACTGGGCGCAGCATGTGGTGCACGCGGTGAACGCGCAGGCCGCATCAGCACGTTCCGTTCACCGGGATGGGCGATTGGGCCTTATGATCCCCAACATCAACCCTACACTGCCCTACACGGGGCCTTTTTGAGGGGTTATGGGGAATAGTCGCCCATCCTGGCAATTCACAAGTCGAGCTGCAGACAACCTAGCACCCCATCTTCGAGACTTGGATCATACAGTTCGATTCTGGGGACACAGTCCCGATGATTGCCAACATTTTCCAGCCATATCACACTCCAGCTCAGTGCCGGTCGGGGTCTGCTTCAGAATCCACGTGGTCAAACCCTGGCCTTCGTCACAATCACACTCAATCGCTGTTACTAGTAGTCCTCCTACTCACTCACAAATGATCATCGCAAGAAAGTCAGTCATGAATCCTTCTGGTGGTAATAAGCGCATAGTGATCATCACGATGATTTTCGTAACAAAAAGAAGAACAGAATTGTAACAAGCAGTCAAAGCATCTTTCTTCCCCGCCTTTTCAGAGGACCTAAAGCCTAAGCCCTAAAAGCCCCTAAACCCCAAACCCTAAACCCCAAACCCTAAACCCTAAACCCTGAACCCTAAACCCTAAACCTTACCTTGTAAGAGGAGAAGTTGAAGCCCTTCTCTTTGGTCGACGACTTCGCCGTGCAGCTGGACTCCGAGGTGCGGCCCTTGCTTGCAACCCTTTTGGGAGGTTTTTGGGTGGTTGGTCTAGGGTTTAGGGTTTTGGGTTTTGGGTTTAGGGTTTTGGGTGCTTGTGTTTTTCCAACCCCTGAGACGGTGTCCATGAGGCGAGACAACCCCTAAGCACTTTTCCAGAGTTGGCAAAGGTCTCCCAAGTTTCACCCAGTGGGTCTGCAGCCCCCAGCAGGCTGCAAGGAGGCGATGGCCTTTGTGGCATCTCGGCCCACTTTTAGGTGAAGTGCTTGGCATCCTGGAATGGAAGGGGGTTGCGCGCAGGTGTGGAATTTTGCAGCGTTTGACAGGTTAGGATTTTTCCTTCGTGCGTTCACACCTGCAATGTGTAACTTGCATGTCGTGCGGCGAAGCCGTCTGCAAATCATTCCGGCCATCTCCCAATTTACCATCCCCAACCCGAATTGGGCTGACATGCGTCGATGCTCATGCTGGAGGCATAGATGTATCCATGCGTGAATCTAAGGTCTCTAATGGCGGGCCTCACAACTACCATTTGGGGGCAGTGTGTCATCGAATCGTGGCTTCGGCAGGACTGAGACATGCTAAGCTCACGGTGTCTCGCTGTGATGATGGTGGTACTAGCTTGGTGATGCAGCCCAGCATTTGTAAGCAGGCCAAGACGGTGAATGCGCAGACACATTTCGGTCGGATTGGGCTGAACTTAGCGTGCCGCCAGTCTTGCAGGAGTTCAGACTGTTCAAATTTCTTCGGGCTGCGGCTACCGAACTCGGATGTTTGGAGACCATGTCCAGTGGTCTTTGGGGAAACCCTGGTGAACTTGACGCGAAGATCGCCGCGTTCAGGGCAGCTTCGAAAATTCTGGGGATGGCTACTGCAAGGTTTTTGGGATGTTCCCCTGTATACTAACAGTCCTTCATAGGGATTCTAGTGCCCCCTCCCCTCCCCCTATTGTAATCCCTATAAAGGACTGTTCGTATGAACATCCCTCGTACAGTTTTTTTGGCACCCCCTCCTCGTGGATGGTTCAGTTTAGGCCTGCTCCAGTCTTCATCCCACGTGCGTCGGCCTGCGACCTTGCCCTGGGAACTTTGCTTTCCTGGAGCAGAGACAAGACGCCCACGGTGGTGGTGGTGGTGGTGGTGGTGGTGGTGGTGGTGGTGGTGGTGGTGGTGGTGGTGGTGGTGGTCATCATGATGATGATGATGATGATGATGACGATGATGATGATGGTGACGATAATGATGATGATGGTTTTTGCATATTTTTTCAAGATGCTGGTTTGAGCCTCCCAAGCTGGGACATGCCTCCCTGTAACTCGGAGTGCCAGCTGTGGGTTGACAATTTAGGACTGCCCGCCGAATGCCCCTGCCTCCCTCGTACGTAGTGGTAGGTTGTTTCGGTTCCTCCTCTCCCAATGCGGAGAACATGTGTGAAGCTTGCCATACCGGTATGCGAATTGTGACTTCAAGGGATCTCCCCTGTAAGCATTACAAATCGCCTTCCTTCAACCAAAGTGCCGACGTTTGCTCGGTGAGCCAGTGCGAGGAGCAGCGTTTCGCACTCCGATGGGGCTCCTGGAAGGCAGGGGCGTGGTGATGATGGGGGTGTAGGGGGTTTAGGGGGTTTAAGGGGTTTAGGGTTTATTTAGGGTTTTGGGGTGCTGGTTGCAGTTGCGGTTGCTGCAGTTGTTGTTGCGGTGGCACCGTTGGAATCCGCCAGTGTGGCGTTCCCAGGCGCATCGGGCGCAGCGAGCGCCGAGACCGGCTTTCCGCCGGGGAACTCAGGAAAATCCAGGAAATGTCCAACTTTCACTCGTCCTTGCAGGGATTGGAAACAAGGGGGTCTCGTGTGCGGGCGCTCATCTTCCTCTCGTTTTAAAGGCACACTTCGAGCACCAACTATAGACTTGTAGTTCCAGCTTCCCATCCAATGCCCTGTACACCGTACAGGGGAAAAGACATTGGCACGCAATATTGGAATGAATTCGGTGCCCTAAACCCTAAACCCTAAACCCTAAGGTGCGTGGGCTGTCTTGTTGCTATGGCTGGCATTGTGGTTGACCTTTGGCTTCTCAGGTGGGCGGGTGGCGCTCAGCCGCGTGACCGGGCTGCACATGCCCTGCTGGCACCTCACTGGTCTGAAGATGCTCCGAGGTCCTAGGTATTTACACACATACGTCATCATACAGAATATATATAGATATATGTATATATATATATATATGTATATATATATACATAAGTGTATAGTAGTGCTCCTCTCCTAAGACCCCAGCGGCCCAACCAACATCAGGTGGATGGCCGGCTAGTGCAACTTCATCACGACAGGACGCAGCCGTTTGCGTGGATTCTTTGACTGCTGGGTTTCCCGAATCATTTGTCGATGTGAAGACAGGCTGTGAGGTCCTGATGTGTTAGGCCCGAGAAGTGCCAGAACCCACCACTCGACCACGACCCATAGCAACACGAATTCTTGATGTCCAAGGCTGATTCGGGGTTTAGGGTTTAGGGTTTAGGGTTTAGGGTTTAGGGTTTAGGGTTTAGGGTTTAGGGTTTAGGGGTGCCTATAGGGCTAAACCCCAGCCCGCATCGAGGAGACTTTTTCAAGCTCGTGTCATCGCAGCAGCTTGGCCGCAAAACCCGGTCCTTGGATTTTGGGGACAAGACAACGCCGAACCCTAGACTGGGTTGTTCTTTGGGATAATTTCAAATTTCCCTTCTTCCCTTATAAGAGTACCTTTTCGTAAAAAACACTAAAAGGGGCTTACAGTTGTTCTTTGGGATAATTTCAAATTTCCCTTCTTCCCTTAAAAGAGAACCTTTTCGTAAAAAAGCACTCAAAGGGGCTTAAAGCGCAGCTCAGTATAGCTGAACCCAGAGCTTTGCATTGTGAGGGCGGAGGGCCGGGGAGGATGCAACTCTTTGCCTTAGGGTGAGGAGCGCTGTGAAGGTTCTAGGCTAGATGTGGAAAACGGCTCCGAACCCTCAACTCCTTCTCCCCTAAACCCTAAACCCTAAACCCTAAACCCTAAACCCTAAACCCTAAATCCGCCTTGCAAGCTGCGTGCCGGCCCAGGTGAATCTGTGCTTTCTGGGTCTCTGGGCGGTGGTCTTCTTCATCTTTGGGGCTTGCTTCCTGCGAACGAGCCAAGTTCAGGCGGTTTAGGGTTTAGGGTTTAGGGTTTTGGGTTTAGGGTTTAGGGTTTCGGGTTTAGGGTTTAGGGTTTAGGGTTTAGGGTTTAGGGTTTAATTAGGGGGATTCAGTGTGAGTTTGGAGAGACACTCGGGACTTCAGGCATGGGTCTTGGGTTTTTTGAGGGGGCTGGGAGTTTTTTAGGGGGGCTTGTAGGGTTGAGGGTTTAGAGCTTTAGGGGGGTTTGTAGGGTTGAGGGTTACTCGTAGCAGGGTTTGGAAGGGGCCAGGGTGTACAGGGTTTAGTTTAAGGCTGAGGGTTCTTCGATTTCTGGGAGTTGGGGATGTTGGATGTCGGCTCAGCTTCGGCGGATGTCCTTCATGTGTCAGATCATCTGGGAACACCGTGCGTGCAGACTTCATCGGCAGAGCTTGAATCGAACAATCTGTGCTAGGGGCATATGGGGCATGAGGTTCCTGCGGAGGGGGAAGTTCAACTCTAACCTAGCCCTACAGGCACATGAAGACTGCAGGGTTGCATAACGATGGCTCTTGTTTCTATTATTACTATTATTATTCTTATCATTATTTGTATTACTGCTACTGTTTGTTTGTTTTTTTTTTTTTTTTTTTGGGGGGGGGGTTCTTAAGCAATTGGCCCATCAGCTGACGAGAAGGTCGCAACAGAAAGCTATGCTTCGATGGGCGCGATGTTCTCCATTGCAGCGTGGCTCATGTTGTGAGGGGCCTAAACCCTAAACCCTAAGCTCCCTTTTATTACTACGATTATTAAGATAATCCCTATGAAGGACTGTTCGTATAAGGGGGAGCATCCCAAACTACAGCGCCCTAACTCCCAAACAGCTCAAGCCCTGGGCCTCCGGCCTGTAGCCCTGAAATATGAGCCAATGGTTCAGCGTTGAGGGGTCTGTTTTGGGGGAATTTACGAAAATAGGGGTAGCCTTCTTGGGGGTACCTTTAGGGGGGTAGCCTTATTTTGCAAAATGCCCACATGTGTTTATGTGATTTGTAGGGTGCAGGGTTTATGGGTTTAGGGTTTATGGGTTCAGTCTTTAGAGGGTTCAGGGTCTACATGTGTTTCTAGGGTAGTAGGGTAGTAGGGTTTATGGGCTCAGGGTTTCGAGGGTTCAGGGTTTCTAGGGTTTACAGGGTTTAGGGGTAGCTTCAATTCCATAGACAGAGGTCAGCGTGCTGCTCTACCACCTCTTCCGAATCGTGGCCCACGTCCTGACCGAGGCGGAGAACCACCGAGAAGAGGACGGCCAGAGCGCCCGAGCCGTACCTCAGGGCAACCTCACGAACCTCCACCCAGCAAAACCATTCCCTAAAACCTTAAGCTGTAAACTCGAAAGCCCAAAGTGGAAGTCCTAGAAGGCCCGAAGCCCTACAAAGCTCGATTAGGACTCCTGGGAGACCTCCATCCTGGTGAAGAAGTGGGCGCTGACCGTCATCGTCCAGTGTCAGGGGCCCTGGGGGCGTTTCCGACAGCAGAACGAGGGCTCATCGTATTGCGAAAAATATATACATATATATATATATACATATATATATATATATAAATGTGTATATGTATATGCATATGTATATGTACTTTATATGATGCAATAAAGTTATAATGCTCGAATACTATCATGCTATACTACTACAATAACTACAATACTATATAATAACTAGAATACGACTAATCTTCAATACTAGAATACTACAATACCAGAATACCACAAGACAATATTACTACAATACGACAAAACGGTCATACGCGATATTACTACGCGTAGTTCTGCTTTATCTCGCATCGCTCGGTTTTATTCATCGTTCGGCGCCACATTGGGGAACTGCATTCCCCAGAGTATATCTCTTGATGTCGAAGTCGGCCTCGGGCACGCATCTACATGTCCTCGGGAGTTGCATGTGAAGTAACGGATGATTGCTGGGGGTAGCCTCGGTCACCCTTAGCCACAAGGGGCGGGGGGGTTTGCATTCCAGGATGGGCGCATCGGCCCTAACATCCCAAGAATCCACCTAAAAACGGGCTTCTTGAAGGTATGAGAAGCGTATACTGGCCCATCCTGCTTCAGGGGTCCTCGTGTCCCACAATTCGCGAG